GAATGGAAGAGGAAAAATATGTCATAACTAAACAGATTAAAATCCTTATTCAAGGCAAATGCATAGTGAATCTTGAATGGAGTAAAAGGAAACTCACATGCAAGCCAACATTTGCTCTAGAATGCATCAGATCTGCCCTCCTCTAGATAAAAGCAGTCAAAAGAAATGGAATCTACAGTAGCCGAAGCATAACTTTGGTAAATAGCATGCATGCATAAGGGGGCATGCATGCATAAGGGACCTATCACTAGTGTCCACTTCATCCAACTTAATCAAATTTACAAACTTATTTAATTTTTTAAAGAGTTAATAAAGGGTCAAGATATACCTGTAAAGAAACACTTCAATCAACACTAGCAGCCGCATTCTCCCCTCCAAGTGTTGCATCTGAAGACTAAAAAAAATTACATTAATATAAAAACTAAAATAAAGGGTGTATGTGTGTATGTGTAAACTTTAGAAAAAAAATATGTTACTTGTAAGCTGAATAATATTTTCTGTCTCATTAAAGTTATCAAACTCATGGAGCTTATCAACCAACTCAAAGAGAGATTGCCCACTTTGCAGCCAATTTTGCCCACAAATCAATGCTTCTGTCATTTTAGGAGATAAAGAGCTCCTATATTGATCAACTACACGTCCACCAGTACTAAATGCAGACTCAGAAGTCACTGTAGAAATTGGCATAGCCAATACATCTCGTGCCATGTGGGAGAGAATTTTATATTTTTCAGAATTGGCTTTCCACCATGATAGTATGTCAAACTCAGAATCAGCTGATGAGATTTCAACTCTAGAATCAGTTGCAAAATATCTATCTAGCTCACTTTATGGATCCATTGAAGTTCTTTGCTTCAAAGACTCTAACCACATTGCCCCTGGATCCTCAATGTCATCATCATCATCATCATCAAGAGAGGGCAATGAACTTGTAGATGCATTATTTGTATGGGTAGGCCCTAATTCAGTAGGAATCCCAACAGAATACTCGTCAAACAGTTGATACAAACAAGTTTTGACCTTCTCCATCATCAATGCACATTCCTCAGGGTTACTGAAAAGGAGTTCAAACATGTGATTTACATAAACTAATTTGTATCAAGGATCCAAGATCACAGCCACAATCAATAATGGATTCATATTATCTGCATGACCCCAATACTTATCAAACTTTAGATGCATCTTAAAGCTCACATCTCCCAAAAAGGTATTACCATTGTTTCCAATATGCTTCTGCAGCATTTGCTGAACACGAGCAATTTGGTGGAAACAATCATTTGATGTTACAACAAGGGAGCTTGAAAATTTCAAAGTTATGTCATAAAAGACCTTCAAGAATTTGATGAAGACTTTAGCATTTTTCCAATCATCAAGAATAGGGCCAGAGAAAACACCTCCCTCTTGCCTAGAGCTAAAGAATGCAATATAGTCATCATCTTCATCACGCATCCTCTCAAACACCTTTTGAAACTTCATTGCAACTTCAAACATCAAATATGTTGAATTCCATTAAGTGCTAACATCAAGGAAGACAAGGCTCTTGGTTTCTATTTTTTCAGATTCAACCCAATTTTTAAATTTTAGAAACCGTGAAGGAGAAGACCGAACATATCTCATAGCACTTCGAATGGCTTTAAAACTATCTTTCATGTGTTTGATGCCTTTGTTGACCACCAAATTAAGAACATGTGCACAACATCTTAATTGTAGGTAGTCTCCTCTACAAATCAAGCCCTTCTAACTTCTCAACCTCCTTTTAAGATATCCCAAAGCCGTGTCATTAGATGAAGCATTATCTATAGTTATGCTAAACACCTTATCAATACCCCAATCCAACAAGCATTGCTCAATGGTCTTCCCTATAGTCTCACTTTTATGATTTTCAATCATAACAAAACTTAGGATCCTCTTATGAAGCTTTCATTCATTATCAATAAAATGTGCCGTCAAACACAAATAATTGAAATTTTGGTTTGACGTCCAACAATCTATCATGAGACAAACACACTTAGAACATTGCTTTAAGATCTTCTTTAGCACTTTTACTTCACCAAGATATAGCTGCCACACATCTCTCGCAATTGTTGTTCTTGAAGGGATTAGAAAGCGAGGTTCAAACTCATTCAACAACTTCTTAAATGCAGGCTTCTCAATAATTTTGAACGACTGCTCATCACAAATGATAAATTCAGCAAGAGCTCTTCTACACCTCTTCTCATCATATAAGTGAGTGACTAAAGATTTTCCTTGTCTACTTGTCCTACCTGATAACAGATTTATCATTCCTTGTTTCTTATCTTTGGTGGCCTTGTGAGGGTTCTTTGGACACTTTGGGATGTGCCTCAACAAAGAATGTGTCCCATGGCGTAATGGATCAGAAGCATAAGTCGTGTGGCAAAACTTGCATGCTGCTCTATGCTCCCCATTAGTTTCTTCTATAGGAAACCTAATAAAGTAATCCCACACCTCTGATGTATGTTTATGTTCCTTTTCTTTCCTTTTTCGACCCCTTCTCTTAGCATCTGTTACTTGTGTGACATGTTCTGTGGGAGTTTGGGTGGGAGGAGCACGAGGGGGAAGAGAAAGAGGTGCAGGTGGAGGGACAGATTGAGGGGGAGGGGGAGGGGGAGGGGCTGCTGTTTGTGTAGGAGGAGTATGGGTTGGGGTTTGTGTAGGTCCGGTAGGGGTTGGTGAATGGGAAGGTCCAGTAGGGGTTGGTGTTTGAGATGTTTCAAAAGGCGATGCAACTGAAGCTTGATCCTCCATGCTAGCATAACAAAATTACAAAACTACAAATTTCATAAAAATACAAAATCAAGCTTGTTATTCAATGATATAAAAATCACAAAGAAATACACATAATAGAGATCAGAACAGTCATGTAAAAGCAATGATTATAGATTAGGAAACAAGAAATTTGCCATTTTCAACAACTTTCTTCTTATACAGTAATTGGGATAAAATTCATTTATCAAATCAATAGCAAATCAGATAAAGTGTGTGTAATGTATTATATATGTAACATTAATACATTATAATATAATCTATAACAATAAAGCCAGAACTCAACTCATAATTGCCCTCACAATCTCGTATCATTATTTTCATCAACAAAGCTTTTTTTTTCAGACAGAAACAAATCAAATCAAAGATTAATATGAAAAATCATGCAGGCTTGGAAGATACCAGACTCAACTTTGTGCAGAGACATTGAGCATTATCCAAGTTCCAGCTTAATCCCAAGTGTTCTCATTATTCAACTGGGTTCTCCTATCTACTTTGCAAACTCTTCCTACATCAAACACAGGCACGTAATATTTCTTCTCTCTCTCTATATATATATATATATATATCATGACGATCCAAGTAATTGACCCTTTTTTATGAATTTAAAAACTATGAAATAGGATCATGAGGTATATTCAATACGAGGCGAGTTCTAGTATTGGGGAAACTGTAGAGCATATCATCCTCGATTTATCAGGTTCGTATGTCATTATGTTTCCAGTGAAGTACTTTTCTAGGTACATATATATTTTGTAACTGCTATTGAAGGATTATTGCACTAAAAAAATGAAGAAGAGCAAATTGAAAACCTGGGCACTGGGCAGATGTGAACTGAATAAGATTTAAGAGTGGAGACTGGAGATAGAGATGAGTGAACAACAGAACAGGTGAACAGGACAGATAAAGTCGAAGAACATGCAATCTATCAACACGTACAGCTGGAGTTGACGAACGCTGAACGGACGATATCGTGCTAGACTGCCAGTGGAGATTGATGGCGAATGGTCGAAGAGAGTGACTATGAGAAATACTCGAACAGGGAGAGGGGAGAGGAGAATGACGGCAACTATAAAGATTGTGTGAGGGCTGAGGGGAGAACAAAGGCAAGCAAAGGTGTGGCAGTGTGAGGGGAGAACGACACGACGAGAGATGAGATTAGAGAATGAAGGTTGAAGATTGAGCTGTGTGGCAGTGTTGGTTGTGCTTCTGCCTTGTGGGACGCTGAGTCGCTAATCTAGTGATGCTATTGCTGACTGCTGAGCCTGAGACGCCATCGGGACTCTGGAGTTTAGGCTCTGGAGTGGAGAGTGGAGAGATGGCTAGGGTTAGAGATTAGAGAATAAGAGGTGGGAGGGACGCTGTCGCTGACTCTGAGTCTGCACTGCAATGCTGATTGCTGAATTGTTGATGCTTTGCTTAGTCAATTGGTCCATGCTGAAAATTGAAATGCTGGAGTTGGGCTGTGAACGTTGGGCACTGGGCAAACGGACTCACGCAGATAGCAGATCCACAATTTGGATTCAAAAAAAAATATATGAGCACATTTCAGGCTGGGCCAAACGGGCAGGGCAGCATACCTTGCCCATTGCCCAGCCCTGCCCGAATATCAGCCTAACTCAAAAATGTCCAAATCATGTTGGGCTATTTTTTTTGGGCCGGGTTGGGCAAAATTTTATCGGGTTTGAACAGGTGTGTCGGGCAATCGGGCTCCATAAACACCCCTGGCTACAACGGTGGCTCGTGGTAGTAATTCTAGGGACTGGCGCGTTGCAGGTGGGGACAACAACTGCTTTTTTGGCAAGGGGCTCTCCTTGCCTGACACTTACGGCTGCGCCGAAAATGGAGCAGGTGGTAGTACAGGTGGAAATCAGGATGGTTACAAAAAGCAATGTGTTGTCTCCAAGAATTTGGGCCTCTAGAAGGCACAGCCCAATATCTGTCTCTCGAGGAGTGTTATGCAGGAATATATTTGCTCCGGGCCTTCTACTTGTAACATTTCTTTATCAGATCATAAAAAAGATGACTTAGCTTCGAACCTGAGCCACACTCCTCGTTGACGAATTATAATCTTAAAAAGCCCAGGAACTTTCCTACCACAAAAAAAGCCCAGGAACTTATGTCAACGCCCAAAGGAAGGAAATGGACAACTCGTCAAAAGCTATTGTTCCATATACTCCTATCTCTCCAATCTCTGAGGTTGCTTTAAAGCTTAAGCAAGTTGTGCTAAAACGTGGATTATAAGAACTGGAATCTCCTGTTCTTCCCAAAAGAAGGAAACTTTTTACTGATGAAGGAACTGTGGAATTAGAAATAAAAAACTCTCACCACTCTCTAAAGCTCAAAAAGACGCATGAGAAGTGTCCAGTGAGACGAACCAGTATGGGGAAAGCTAAGGCAGGAAGTGTTCTTAGTGATGCCCATACCCCTTTGATCTCAGAAGGTACTCTTGTTAATGTCCCCATCATTGAGGAAATTGACTTTCCGGTTGATTGGTTCAGATTTTCTGCTACATCTACTTTAAACGACTCCACGGTCTCTACTGAAGGCTCTGGTGGCTGGCCTCTCACAGCCACCAAGGAGCCATGAATCTTCTTTCATGGAACTGCTAGGGACTTGGATTGCCCCTGACAGTTAGCAACCTCAAGGAGGTCATTTCCAACAATAAGCCCACTGTTGTTTTCCTAATGGAGACTCGACAGAAGGCAATTTACCTTGATAGAATTAAGAGGCGTTGTGGTATGACTCACTCTTGGTACGTTGATCCTATTGGCCTTTCTGGTGGTTTGGCCCTTTGGTGGAAAAATGATATCGATATTCATGTTATTTTCTCCTGCAAAAATTACATTCACATTGCTGCTGCTTCTAATTCTTGGTAAGTCCCTAATCTCTTGACTTTCATTTATGGCCCCCAACAGCATCTGATAGAAGGTTGATTTGGAATGAAATTTCAATTTTTGCTAGAGATATTCATACATCTTGGATTCGTGTCGGTGATTTCAGCGACTTTTTATCTCAATCTGAGAAACTCGGTGGAAATCCTTGCTTTGTTCATAGGATCCTTAATTTTCAAAAATTTGCTGCTGATTGTGACCTTCTTGACCTCGAAGCCAAAGGTTCACGTTTTACCTGGTGTAACCAACGCAGTAATGAAGAGTGCATCAAAGAAAAGATTGATCGAGCAATGGCCAACAATCATTTTCGTGATGCTTTCCCAAAAGCTCTAGCTTTTCACATAGATGCTGTAGCATCTGATCATCATTTTCTTTTGGTGAATCTCTGCTTCATTGACAGCAAGACTCCATTCAAATTTAGATATGAGATTAACTGGGCTTCCCATCCTGATTTTAAAAATGTAGTTAAAAGATCTTGGTACTTTGCAGATCCTGAAGCTTATGCTGTGGTCCCTCAATTTATCTCATGCTCTGAACGATGCAGCAAAGAACTTACTGTTTGGAGCAAGAAAGCCTTTCCTAACAATAGAAAGGCTATTAATGATCTACTGAAACAAATTGAGGCCTATGAAGATGGTGCACTGACTGAGGATAGTATACTTACTATAAAAGCTTTAACTCATAAATTGGAGAATTTTTGGAGAAAAGAGGAAACTTATTGGTGGCAGCGATCCAGAGTTAATTGGATTGCATCAGGGAATCTCAATACTAAATTTTTTCATGCGTCCACTGTTTTAAGAAGACAGAGGAATTAAACAATAGAGTTAAAGAACTCTTCTGGTCAATAGGCGGAATCCAAGCAAGATGTGTCCACTCTAATTTCAAAATTTCATTGAGTTGTTTTCTAAGAGCAACACTTCTGATCTTAACTTGGTGCTAAGCTATGTCACTCCTCAAATCACTGATGCTCAGAATGATTGGCTCATGCTTCCTGTGACTAAGGAAGAACTCAAGCAAGCTGTCTTCCAATTAGGGCATCAAAAGCCCCTGGCCCGGATGGTTTCAATGGCCATTTTTACCAATCTTCCTGGGAAGAGGTAGGTGATTCCCTTCTTTCTCTCGTTAATAGCACTTTATTTATGGATGAATCTCTGGGCTATTTGAATAGTACCAATCTTACTTTTATCCCAAAGGTGGATAGACCTGAAAATGTTAGTCACTTTAGACCAATTAGTCTTTGTAACTTTGCCTTCAAAGTTATCTCAAAGATTATAGCTAACAGATTCAAGGTGGTTCTTGATGATTGTGTGTCTCCCACTCAAATGTGCTTTTGTTCCTGGGTGCCTCATACATGATAATATTATTCTTGTTCATGAAATCTTCCATTACTTAGAGTTGAAGAGAAGTGGTAATGATTTTGAATTTGCCTTCAAGATGGATATGAACAAAGCTTTTGGTAGATTAGAATGGAACTTTATTGAGGAGACTATGGAAAAAGTGGGTTTTTGTACCATTTGGTTCAAGTGGATCATGAAATGTGTTAAATGCTCGATTTTTCATTTATAAGTTGCTGGTAAAACTGTTGCTAGCATTGTTCTTGAGAGGGGTGTTAGACAAGGTGACCCTCTCTCACCTTACTTGTTCATTCTTGCCAATGAGGTTTTATCTGTTATGCTAAGTGCTCATACTGACTGTGGTGATATTGTGGGCATAAACTGGTTGAAGATTGTCCTTTGCTCACTCGTCGTTTTTTTGCTGATGATACTGTGCTTTTCCTGAATGCTAATAGAGCTAACTGCAGCACCATCAAAGCGATTCTCCATTCATATTGTAACCCTTCGGGATAGCACATTAATTATGATAAATCATCATTATTCTTCTCCGCTAATACACCTACCAATGTCAAAGATGAGGTGTCCTCTTTTCTTCATTTTAACGCCACTGATGACCCTGGATCTTATCTTGGTCTCCCTATTCTGTGGAGGCGATCTAAAATTGCAGCTTTAGCCTATGTTCATGACAAGGTTGGTAAGAGAGTTCATGGTTGGAGAAGCAAAATGCTTAATTTTTTTGGTAGGGAAGTTATGATTAAGTCAGTTATTAATGCAATACCTATTTTTCCAATTACTTGCTTTAAATTCCCTAAGCGAACCTGCTCTGAATTGGATAGCATGGTTGCTAATTTCTACTAGGGGCAATTAGAAAATGAGAACCACATTCACTGGCAAGCATGGAAAAAAGTTTGTGCTCCAGAGAAAGATGGTGGTCTGGGTTTTTGTGATTTCATGAACTTTAATGATGCTTTATTAGCCAAAACAGCTTGGAGGGTTCTCAATAATCCTGACCTGCTTTGGGTAAGAGTTCTAAAGGCTATATATTTTCCTTGATGCTCATTTTAAGGGCCCCCCATGGCTCTAAGGCCTCATGGGCTTAGAGTAGCCTACTCACTGGCCGTGAATTGTTACTAAAAGATATATGGTGGAAACTGGGTAACGGTATGCGCATCAATGTTTGGAAAGACTCGTGGATCCCGGGTCTGCCTAGTGGTAAAGCTGTTAAACAAGGTGTAATGGTAGATGAAAATTTGCTTGTTCCTGATTTAATACATAATGGGAAGTGGAATCTGTCTTCAATGGTCCACTGCATGACCTCCAAAACAATGTCAAATTATGAGCCACATCCTATCTAATGGTGCTCTTGACTCTTTTGCTTGGACAGGAGCAAAGAATGGAGAATATATTCCTAAACTTGGATATAGATTGGAATACTACAGGTCTCATTCTATAATCCCAAGAAACCCAAGCTCATCTTTTTGGCTGCCTAAATGCTTTTGGAACTGTATTTGGCATCTTAAGATCCACCCCAAGGTCAAGCAGTTTATGTGGAGAGCTTTGAATCAGTCTCTTGCAAAAAAGGATGCCTTGTATGCCCGCAAGTGTTCTCTCAACCCACTTTGTCCTATTTGCAAGCATACTCGTGAAACTGTTGAGCATCTTTTATTACTTTGTGGTTGGGTCCAAAAAGTTTAGTTCGGCTGCCCTTCTACCCTTCTTACGGATCCTTTGCATATGTCATCTTTTAAATCATTGTGCTGTGTTTTTCTACTTGATGATAGTCCATTAGATGACTTTGGTAAGGCTTATGTTGCTTGTCTTTGCTGGAACATTTGGAAGACAAGATCAACCTCTGTATTTTCTGCTATGGAGATCAATCCGATCAAGGTCATTACTGACACAGATGCTACTGTTAGAGAATTTTGGACAGTTAATTACAAGGAAACTGTACCTAATTCTCCCTCTGCTCACCACAATATCAAGTGGAGTCCTCCTGCTCAAGGTAATATCAAGATAAATTGTGACGGATCTTTCTCCACCAATTCTGGCAAAGCAAGCATTGGTGTTGTTTGCAGGGACTTTAATGGAAATTTTCTTAAAGGGTGGGGGAAATCTGTTCTCGCTAACTCTAGTTTCATGACACAGTTATTGGCTTGCTCCAAAGCCATTGATATTGCTGCTGAATTTCAAAACCAAAATGTGACTTTTGAAATGGATTGCTTGGAACTTTTCAGGGCTATTACAACTAAAAGTACAGCCTCTTATGACTGGCTTTATCATGGCATGATGACAGATCTCCTGTCTTGTATTGAGTCAAACACTTTCATTTCCTTCTCGTTCATCAAACGTGAGGGAAACGTAGCTGCTGATTGGCTAGCAGCCAACTCACTAAAGGGTGCGGACCATCTTGGTTGTCTTACTCAGCCCCCACTCCCTGTTTCACCTTATCTATTTGCATGACTCAGTACCTGATAGTAGCATTTGCATCCTGTGACCAACAATGATAGGGAAGGCATTGGTTAAGGTGGTTATGATTTGTAGTTTGCTCTGTAGGTCTTTGCCCCTGTGGCTTATGACTTTTCTCTTATGTACTATCGTTTCACGAATGAAATTATTCCCCATTGATAAAAAAAAAAAAAAAAATCTCTCCCTCTTAATTTTAACCCTATTTTTAGTTTGTTTGTCTTAATTATTCACCTTGAGATTGTGAGATTTGCTTAATGATTTATTTCTCCAATGATCACTTTTGAATTCTTTACCGTGTAATTCATTTCTTCAATAATCCAAGCGCTCATCTTGGGAAGAATAATAGGGAAAGTAATTATTCAAATAAAATAATTAACAGTCAAATTACACAATGAGATCAAGCATTGTTATAAAGTAAAATAAAATAATCATCGAGGGTCATATATAAAGTTGAAGCACAGATTCTAACAAAAAGAAATAATGCTTGATTTCCAGAAGATAATGTATTGAAGAATTCGATGCTCACTCCCTCTGTTACAAAAAAAATGTATGACATGTTTTGAAAGATTGAATGTTAAAAAATATAAAATATTTTTAATATTTTAAGATGTAATTATTATTTTTTTCTATATGCCTTTAATAAATAAATTATTTTTTATTTATTTTAGAATAAAATGCCTATTAAATAGGAATAAATATAAAAAAAATACTATTAGCTTAAAATTAAATAAATATTTTATTAAAAGTAAAATTCAGTTAAATTTTTAAATGAAGGAGGTATAGTTTAACTTTTTTTTTTTTCGGAAAATGGCTTGTACGACACATGATCATGATACAATATATATGATCATGATATTATTCCTTCATTCCATAGGGCAAAGGAAATGGTTACGTGTACCGGGATGAATTAAATAGTCCACCTATATTAAATTTGGATTATCTATATTGGTAATCAAATTTATTAAAAAATTCTAATTTTTATAATTTTTTATTTTAATAAATATAAAATTAAAACATTGAATCCAGACTATTCACGATCCAGAACCAATAACTACTCCCTCTGTTAAAAATATAAATATTTTTAATCGAATCTAACTCCTAATAAAGTAGTTACCTATTTTTAAACTAACTATATCTTCTCATATTTATCCTTGTTAAACACCTTATAATAAATATAAAGTTTTTAATCAATAGCGGCACTTTTTGAAAAAAAGAAGAAGCAATAATTACATTTTAAAAGACTAAAAATGCTTTACATTTTTTAGCATTCAACCTATCAAAAAATGTTTTATATTTTTAAACGAAGAGAATAATAACTTTGGCCATCGGTAGCATAGAACATCCCTAACTGCTAGTAACTGCAATTAAGGTTATTAAACTCACGAGTTTAAGTAAACTTGTGATAGGGATGTAAATTTTAGATGTAGACTCGAATCATAAACTTATAAAAGTTCACTCTTTATTAATAAATAACATTTAAAAGTACATAATTAAATAATTAAAATATAACATATGATCATAATTTAATTTAAAAATATTTTAAATATAAATTATTGAAATTAAATTTATCTACATTCATAAACAATTATACTCAACATAGAAATTTTAAAATAGGGCAACTTATTTTTGGTATTTTTTTGTTTTTTTTTATTAATATTAGTTTTTGTCTTTTTTACTTTTACTTTCAATTAAACTAAATCCTACTACTTCTTTAAATCAAGTTCTAAATAGTATATACTTACCTTGCTCAATGAGTTTATGAGTAGATTGATATGATTTTATAAGATAAAAAATAAAGACAATAAACTCAAAGAGTCAACATATGAGTTTAATTGAGTTTTATTTACTTCGAGTTTATGAGTGAATTAACATAATTTTGTAAGTTAGAAATATAAAAATAATAAACTCATAAAGTTAACTCAAGAGTTTGGCAATAATAATTGCAATTTATTTTTTTTGGGGAGAATTTCATTTAAATAGCTCTGAAAAAAATTTCAAAATTCAAGGATACAGGTATGGAATATTTGTAATATATATTTTAATATTTTATGATATAGGTATATATATTTTTATTTTTAAACAAGAATTTCCAAAACAAAATAAGGATATTTATAATAATAAATCAAAATATTAAGTGTTTTTTTTTAAGTTTTTAAGTGATATAGTAAAAAATTATTAAAAAAAGATTTATATTACAAGTATTAGAACATGAAATGTGTATGCTGAAGTATCCTATAAATATAGTATTGGATATAGATATGTTTATTTTTTTAAAGTATCCATACTTCATAGTAAATAAGCTTCCTATTTCTTCCTCTATCTGTCAAATGCATAGATTTGCCGTTTGCTAATGGGTATATACGCTGATTATTTCGCATGGAAGCTTGCGTGCATCTTTTGGCTTTATACTGTCCTTGGATTTTTAAAGTTGTGCAATTGGCTTGTGGGTGATAGTGGTGCATTGTAATGAAAGTGAAATTTTTGTGTCCAAGCCAATAAATTGTGTTGTGAAAACTATGATGTTATGATGTAAATATGAGAATTGTAGTTATAAATCTATAAATTGTTAAGTTTTGCTTTGGTAAATGAATGAGACTCCTATTTATTGTTTTTCTGAACATTGCTTCGTTGCTTCTCCGTTCTATCTCTTGAGATACTTTTGAAATACGCACTTGATTTGGAATAATGAAAAAGTTATGGTTGGTGAATGACAAGTGGTGCTAGTAAAGTTATTGTGTCTATACTAATTTTACAACCTAAATGTCTACATGTTTACGGGTAAAGTGTCAGACCGAATAAACATGTATAGTAACCATAATTTACATTCTTAAAATCATAATTACAAGCAGCTACTCCACTAAATTAACAAGTACAATAACTGAATGAATTGTTGTAAACATGTTAACAAGTAAAGTTGGATGATTGACGAGTTATATAAAAAATTTTACAAGTATTTTTAGTTGATTGGTAAGAGAGTTAATATTAATTTTTGGAGGGTTAAAAATATGGTGAAGAAGAAAGAAGAACAAATGAACGTGGAAGGAAGGAAAAAAGAAAGATCAAGTAACAAAATTCAAAAAATGCAGAAAAGAATTTCATGAAAAGAATAGAGGTAAGTTTTAGAGCTTTGAAGAGTTTATTGATTGGTGTGGAAAAAGGCATGGCAGAAAATAAATTCCACTGTCAAATTTCTTATTCTATACTTAATGTTATATTAGGTAAATTAGTATAAGTATTAACTTATGAATGTTTGTCATGAAAGATGAGCTATTTGTATTAAAGACTACTAATTTGTTGATGACTAGTTAATCATTTATATAATTCAAGACTTATTTTTGCCCATTCACTAAGTGCCCCAAAAATTGATTAATGAGAAAAGTTACCCAAAAAACAATTTTTTTGGTTAATTAATTTTTGGAAAAAAAATTGATGTTTTTAGAAGTTGCGAATCTAAGCTTCTGTAGAAAAGTTTAGAGAAAATTATAAATAATGGCTCAAGAAAAAAATTATAAAAAAGCAAATAATTTAATAAACATAAAACCAAACTCTCTTCTCTTTTCTCTCTCTTTTTCCCTTTCAACCACCACCCTCCACTCAACATTTACTATAAAAATAATTTAAATAAAATATCAATTGGTAGAGAAAAGTTAATTTAACATTTAGAATCATGATAAAGATTGTTGTAAAGGTTCAGAGAGAGAGAGATATTTCGTATCATTTGTGACATTGTTATATTTTCTATGTTGACAAAATTTTAAGTCAATGCTTAACATTTTTATCAGATATGGCTCATATTCATAATGTCATTAGAGATTAATTTGTATATTATCATCGTCATTAGTTATTGTAAAATTAATATTTGGATATTTAATAATTAAATGTTTCTCTTTTATTAAATTTGTTTGAACTAAGATATATTGAGTTATTTATTTATGTGAATTAAATTGTTAATATTAATGTAATTTAAATTTTTATAATTAATCAGATATGTAATTAAGATAATATATTTTACCTCTTAATTAACATTTAACAAATTTAATAATATTAGATACAAATACATAAATAATTTACTTTTGAAAAGCAATGTCTTTTATGCTAATTTATGTAGCTAAAATTAATTTTGATTAAATTATTCAAATACTTTTAATTCTGTTAAAATTAATTTTAAAAAAATGATATCCAAATAGACTGCATTATATCATAATTAATTATAATTAAAATTTATTATTTAATTAATTATTTTCATAATCTATTATACCCAACTGAAATCTAAATGGGCACTAATATCATATAGCTAGTTAGCACAAAAAAGAAGCAATGATATAGTTAAAGGCAACTTCATTTTGGTGTCTTGTCTTTTGTAATTGGAGATGCATAACTGTTAGGAGTCTAATGTTTCAACCTTCTGATGTAAATTGACTATCTGTTGCAATGTATTTATGCTTCTTAATTTTGATGTTCAAATTAGTTTTCTTCATTAGTTTATTTGAGTATATACTTAGTGCTGGTATAGTTAACATGTAATATAAGAAAATTTACAAGTAATATTTTAATATTTTACAAGTGATGTTAGTAATTTAATAAGTCATAATTGAATTTACAAAGGATAAATATTGTACAAGTAACATTTATGTCTTAATAAGTAATGTAAGAGAATTTACAAGTCATACCAAACATTTTACTTGTGAAGTTATACTTTAACAAGTCATGAATTTATACAGGTTAGGTATTTGACAAGTAACATTATGAACTGAACAACTAATATAAAAGATTTATAATTTATATTAGACATTTTACTTGTAAAGTTAGTCATTTAATAAGCAATGTTTAGATTTACATAGATTAGACATTTGACAAGTAACATTATGAGATTAACAAGCAAAGTACAGACATTTACAAGTAAAATTATTAAACCATTTTCAAGATAAGTTAAGTCCATGACGTTGCTTGCCAATTATCTAACCTCTGTAAAATCTATTTGTTATGACTTGTTAAAAAACCTCATATTACTTGTAAATTCCTTAATATAACTTGCTAATTTCCTTGTGTCACTTGTTAAATCCTCAAGTTATTTATTGATATAGGAGTTAGCAAATGATAGACAATTAGATTTATGACAAATAACAAGTTTGTTGTAAATTACAAGAATATCAAAATGATGAGTTCTATAACTAACAAGAGGGTTACACAAGTCTGGTTTAGGCAATTAACAGGTTATGTTAATGAATTAACAATGCATAAGTAAATTTATGGGCTATGATATGGTCAATACAATGAAACTTGCATTTTCTTCATAATAAAGCTAAAAACTTGCATAAGTGAATTTGAGGGTTTAATAAATTGAAAAGCATACTTATAGTTTTAATTACCGAGAAATTTTCTTCATACTAAAGCCAAAATCTTGCAATTGTATATTACTATAAAAAAGTTGACTCTCAAAATTAACAATTAAAGTTTAGTGTAGCATTCTGCTTGACAACTCAGATCCATCACATTGCAACTACATAATGATTTTTCAACTTCTCTATGCATTTTAACAAGGGAATTTTTCACAGATAGGTGTTAAATTATAACCAAATTAAAAGTGTATACTATTAGTGGCTTCTAGTTTAACAGTAACAAGCCAATTATACCAATTTTTGTAAGTACATTTCTAATTTTTACAAGCAGACACCGATTATAACCTACATTTCCATCATGAAAGTGACCTAATTAAGATAACAAGTACATGGAATGAACAAATACACTTCTGATTTAACAACTATCAATACAACATGGAAGCATGAAGTACAGGGGAATATAGAATTAACAATTATCATCACGAAATTAATAAGTATCATGGAATTTTTTGAAACAATTTACATCATTATGCTTGTAATTTATACATACAAAAGAGCTACCATTCCCAGCTAACAATTTACATCATCACTTTTATGCCACACATCTAATAATATCAAAATCCTCGGTTCTTCATTACATTGTCCTTTCTTGTATCGTTCTTCCTCATGCATTCCAATTCTCATATTTCATTGACTCCTAAATCCTCACAAATTATCCCATTGCATATGGAAGAAACAAAATAATTGCTTTCCAAAATTTCTTGCCATCTACTGCATAAACCTGCAACAAACATTGAATCATTCAAATATAGATTTCATTTACCAAAGGAAAACTTGATCAATTTAGATTCTGCTTGGTTACTAGAAATGAATTAAAATAAAAATAAATTAAATCACCCTTCCTCCTTATGATAAATATGATAAAACTCATTAAATATTATTACAAATATAGGAATCATCAAACTCTCAAAAAATCTCGTGAATTATAATTCCCAACCCTATGAACTAAATCAACCTTCTTTTTTATGAATGTGGTTCACTATTTCTTTTAATCATCTCATTTTTACCTTTATTTTCCATCCATTTCATTCCATTTTTTTTTTTAATAACCAAATGAAACCTTATAGATCTATCAAATCTAAAATATAACTTTGTAGTTTTCATAATAAAAAATCTGATTAGTTTGAACAAGGGAATCTTATTATTCATTAAAAAAAAAGCAAAACTCAAACAATTTATACATTCATAACTACATTTTTCATATCTACGACATAACATTACAATTTTCAATACACAAAATTCATTTGGCCTGAACAGGGGAGTCTCATTCATTTACCAAAGCAAAACTTAAACAATTTATAGATTTACAACTATAATTCACATATTTCCAACATAACATTACAGTTTTCCCAACACAATTTAATTGGCTTGGACACAGGAATTTCACTTTCATTATTGTGCACTACTATCACCCACAGACTAATTTCACAATATTGAAAATGCCGGAACAATTTAAAGCCAACAAAATGCTCGCAAGCTTCTATGCAGCATTTATACCCATGCAAAACATTTTATACTCATGGCAAAGCTATGCATTTGATAGTTCAAACGAAGAACTGGGAAGCTTATTTCACTGCCAAAAGTTCGACATTTACCTCAACAAGAAGAGGAGATTTTGAATTCAGTCACCAAGCTCTCATCTCAACCCTCTCAAAAACCTAGATACCCATAGAGACCAAAAAAAAAAAAATTACAAATAGGTTAAAATGTCAACACAAGGAAAAAGATCGATGAAAAATTCAGAATTACTAGCCTGTCTTTAGCAAAATGATGAAGCATTGCTAGATTTCATAGAGGATCCAAACTTGAACGACAAATATCTTTGGCTTTTTTTCTTCTCTTTAATCAGGGTTATTTCAGTAAATTTGCTTCAAAAGTTATTTTCGTTTCAGTCATTTCGTATTGCAGTGACTTTTCAATTTTTATTGGTCCTCAATTGTAGATAAATTCCTTCAGCGGTAATTAAATGCAATTCTCTCTTTTTTCTGCCTTCCAAATGCATGCTGCATAAGCCTCACAGAAATTCTGCTTAGTTCATATCATGCCATAACTTAATAAAGTCAAGTCAATATGGGCTGGCTCTATACTACAGCCTACGCAATTCCTATTACACATTTCATTCTAGCCTTTTCCACAGAACAAACTACCCAAAACAAATTGCAAAACAGATCACTAAATATATTACTACCCTTTAGCACACTTGACTTTTCTGCATTCAATAACAAAATCACTTGAACAGTGACAGAATCACAGCGCAAATCCAACAGAACCTCCAATAACTCCAATCATTTCAAGAATTCTCATACCTAATGTTTTAAACACCGGATCAGATGTTGAACTAGAAAGGCTAGCAGGACTCCATTTTTTATTGTTCAATTGATTAGACTGGTAGTTGAACCAGTGGTGTAACAATTAAATGAAAAATAATATTAAATGCATATATAAAATAAATATATAAGTATATATAAGAAATAAATCTACACCATGTTTGGTTGTTAATAAAAAACACATAGTATAAATCAACAATATTATAAATTATAATTTTATACATGTCAAATATTGGTGGGATTTTAATTCGCTTAAGTATGAATAGATTCAAAAATATTTGCATTTGTATCTATAGCTATTAACATCTTCATAAAAAATATTACCAAATCATATTATATACTCCCTCCATTAAAAAATGTAAGGCATTTTTAATCAAATCTCACCCCCCAATAAGGTAGTTACCTACTTTTCAACTAACCTATCTTTCCATATTTACCCCTATTAAACACCCTACAATAAATATAAAGTCATTATCAATAGGGAAACTTTTAAAAAAAAGACAATGATTACATCTCAAAAGATTAAAAATGCCTTACATTTTTGACATTTAATTCCTCAAAAAATGCCTTACATTTTTGAAAGGAGGGAGTACATGTGAAGGGTTCAAAAATGAAGTTAGCTATTAATAGAGTCTAACTTTTTGAATTTGATTTTTTTTTTAGTTTTTTTTTAATACTATGCTAAGAACCATTTGGTTTTCTGAAAACTGTTCTAATTTCTAATTCAATAGCAGCTCAACTCAAGTTCAACACAACTCAACCATGAAAATAGTTTTTTGTCCAAACTGAGCCGTTAAGGGCTCCAATCGACGGTCCAACTGGTCCAACCGTTCGACTTAGTTTGGTTCTTGAAACTGATTAGAAACTATTCTGTAAAATAGGTCATTGCTCATACCATCTTATTATCAAAGCTGGCATTCAAAGGACCATTGTTTGTACCATCTTTTGCTTGCCCTTGCCGCAACTTCACTGAAAATTCACTTATATTATATGAAGACCTTGTTTTAGTCACTAATTTTTTTTTCTGAATGGAAAGAGATCCTTAATCAAAAGCAATTACAAGTTAGTCAAGTCTATTAGACAACCTCCTTTCATCATCCACCACCTTAACATAGTAAGGTGGAAGTTGATCAAAGATAGTATAACATACAAAATTATTCTCAGCTTAAGTGGCCAACAGATGAGCACACGTGTTAGCCTCTCTAAACATGAAATTCAAATGAATGTTCCAATCCCAATAGAAATAAATTCTGGCCTAGTTGATAATTTCTCTAAACGGGTGATGAGCAATATCATTTCTAGTAATCAGGTTGATTGCCTCAACACATTTTAGTCACTTATTGAAATCTATCATTTCTACAAATTCCCTGGTTTGAATTTGTTGGGTGTGGGCCTGCATTCATCTTGGGCTTAGGCCCACAAAACCTATTTTAACTTTTCTGTTTGTAACGATTCCTTTCCCTGTTTAAGGCTGTAACTAGTTTTTTTTCAATTATTATTATCAGATTTGATTTTATAGAAATCATAGGAGAGAGTTTAGGGATTTAATTCGATTTATTCTCTCCTATTATCCGTCCATATATGTAGTCCGACTCTGTAAATAATAACAACAACAACAACAACAAGCCTTTATCCCACTAGGTGGGGTCGGCTACATGGATTGCAAGACGCCATTGTGTTCTATCATCTGTAAATATATACACAGAAATATATTCCAAATAATTTCAGAATTCACATATGCTTCGATTCAACACCTATATATTGAAACATTAAATTTACAGTACTTACAATTTAGCAATATGGCTTATCTAAACACTCAGTCTGAGTCAGGTATGGCTCAAGGATTTAAGGGCAGAGCCATACTTGCTGAAATGGAGAAATTTATTATTCAAGACCATGAATCTTAAAGAAGAAAGAAGCTTATAAAAAATACATGGTTCTGACCTGAAGAAATGGAAATTAGGAGAATTTTTAACAAAAAATACAGCCTGCTAATTAGAGATTTTAAAATGCAAAAAGCAAACCATGTCCTAAGAAGTATGAAAAGAGTTTTAAATGTTAAAAATGTTGGTGATATGATTCAAAAGATTGTATAGCAAGAGCAAGTTAGTGAATCTAAAGCAAGAAAAACATAAGGTAAGTTTGAAAAGAGAGTCAATTCTAGACTAAGAATTTAGAGTTTTTGTGAGTTTCAGTTAAAAGGAAATTCCAAGGCCAATAAGTAAAGGGAAAATACAACAATAGGTACTTGTACTTTGATTACGTTTTACTTTTAGTCCCTATAATTTATTTTGTTGTTCCCAATCCCTATAGTCTGATCCATCTACAATGTTAGTCCCCATAGTTTTAAAAATGAACATAAGAAACCATCAGTTGACACCAACAGAGATAATTTTGCTAACACGTATCTAAATCTATTAATTTGTTTGTTGATGTGTACTTAATTTCACTTTCTCCCACATTCTGTTTAAACCAAATATAAAAGAAAGCTGTTTTCCCCATTTACCTTTATTTTTAATCATATCTCATCAATCTATTTTGGGAGAATGACATTTAAGGCCCCCTCAAAAGAATTTATTGCAAAAAGGCTCATCAGTTTTGCATTAGATAGTATCATGTGAAAACATGTATATATTTTTATTAAAAACTGAACCTTAAATCATACTTTTTGTTAGCGTTTCTTTCAAAATTTAACCAGTTAATATTCAACTTTTAACTGCAACATATGTGTTTTTACAAAATAATATCCAATGCAAAACTAATTGGTGCTTATTGTAGTAAATTCTCTAGAAAAAGCTTTAAATGCCATTCTCCCATTTATTTTCATGTCATCAACATATTTCTACCATGTTAGCAAAGAGATTAGCTAAGTTATAGTGAAATTACCTCCATTTGTGCTATATCTTGATCTATATGTTGTGCATTTTGAAAATTATAAGGACTAACATTGCATAGATAAAGGGACTGGAAACAGTGAAATAAAACTATAGGAATTAAAAACAAAACACAATCAAAGTCCAGGGACCTATTGTTGTGTTTTTCCATAAATCAATCATACTATTCAGAGAGCCAGAAAAATGTGTTCAGGAATCTGCCTAATTAGCACTTCACATAAAGTCATCAACACATCAACAATGGAGCTAACTTATCCAGAACAGCTGAGAAAAAAACCTGAGAAGAAAATATCAACTTGATTCACTACACCCTGAATCAGAAAATCAAAGTCCATCACCGAAAATCAAAATTGATCATTAACCTACCTTATCCACATAAAAATTGGTAACTTATAACTACTAGACCTCTAATAAATATCAAACATAATCCTATAGAAGAGGGAATTTGCAACAAAACCTAGGGACTACTAATAATCTTCAAATTCATTCTTCAGATCAAAGCCATTGAAAAAGAAGAAACCATAAACTTGAGAGAAATGAGCATGGCTGCTAATGTACATATTTGTCATTGTTGACTGAATATCAAAAAGTATATCAAACTTGATTGTCCTCAAATGAAAGAGAAAGATCATGACAGCAATATAACCTATATAAAATGGCATGCTAGTTACAGCAGTACTTAGATTCACCCTTGCAATTATTTCACACAAAATGCAACAAACAAAGAAATCCTAATTAAAATAAAAAAGAAAACTTGAAATTTATAACAATAAGGAGCATACCTTATTCCTCAGCTAGTTCCACCCCAATCACAATAGCTCACAATCAGCTTCTGCAATTGCCAAACCCCTCTCAAAGCCATCTAATTGATTCAAAAAGAAGATTGTTTAAGAATGGCTTCATCATCTGCAAAGACCTGCAAGCATCTCGGGTCATCTGTGGTTTTAAAAAAAAAATGTGGGTTCAAAGGGATCACCAAGAGGAGTAGGGTATGAAATGGGCACGCAGAGAGAGCACAACATCACCAAGTGAAATTGAACTTGAAAAAATGATTATTTCCTTCATCATATTCGAGTTAAATAAATACAAACTAAAAGGAATCTTGATTGACTACAATATAATCAAGAATATTCAAACAGCCATGTGCGTGCTCTGTTGCATGCTTATTAAATCTTATATATATATATATCTAAGTGTTGCTGTCAGAAAGAAAACATGCTAACCTCACCTTTGAAACCAAATTCATTGATAAGATCTTCGAACAACATAAAAAGAAAACAAACGATTCCATGTACAATTAAGCTAGGGACCAAATCCATGAGTTAGACCCCATCATGATGATGATTATCTGCTTTTATCAAATGCATGTGGTGGAGTGGGTGAATGGACTACAAAATCTAACGTGAGAATGAAAGAATAGAATTATAAGCAAAATATGTTGATCTTATAGGTCAATTTTAGTAACTCAGTATAGGCCTTCTCCTCTTCCTTCTCAATATCTCAACTAAATGCATAATGTATATTCAACTAAAACACATCAAAGAATCCTACGATTGGCAATGCCATTAGTATTGCGGTTTCCCAAGAAAAAAAGATACACTAACATAGCACAGTTTAAGGGGACAATAATCTAACCCAACAACATACAACCAAGTTGCAGAATAAAAATCTCAAGGATCATTAAACAGACTCTAGTTATATCTATATGCCATATGACAATCATGACAAATTTTAGCATTCATGAACAAGGATGGTAAGGATTCTGACACAATATTTAAGTTTTGTTGAAGTGAATTTCAGGAACTGAGGCCATATGAACTCTTGTACCTTCAAAATCACATTATGTCAACTTGATGATCCAGATAGCCTGATCCAAGCTTTCTATTCACCAAAAAGGCAAAAACAAACAAGGCAAATGAAAGATATGTTTAAGTTTCACATGATAAATATAAAGAATTCCTTCCAGGCTACCCTAATTGCATAATTTCTTTTGACTATACAAAGTAATCAATGACCAGTTCTTGGTACAACTATCAAAAGAGATGCCATACACACAGCAAGTGAGCAGCAAAATCACAAAAACCTGGCCCAAGACATCCTTTACCAATAATCTAAGCAAGAACATGATCCCTTGCTAAAATGATGGAAACGGGTTCGATCCCGAATAATAATATTTTTGTCAAAGATATTTGAAACATGCTTCATGAAATCATGGCAATCACAACATATTCTAAGATTCTTGATGATTCTTATGGTTTTTCTATCCTGATGATTAAGAAGCATATAAGCCACTGCTAGCTTCTCACTATGAAAACTCAAACTATCTTCCTTTTCTTCCTCTTGAATGTCATGCAGCACAGAGGATGTATTAGGACTATAACCTCCAACTTTTGCTGTATCTATTACTGAAACTAGTAATTTTCTAATCTCCTCCCATTGTGGATGAGAACAATCTCCAGATACAAACTCATGAATTGCTTGATCAATGTTGATCAAACTATGGCCAGGCTCCTTGATAATTTTATTCTCCTTCATCAAGTTCCTCAAACCAGCTTTCTCAGTCCATTTACCAACTCCACCATATGCATTTGATAAAAGCACATAATCACCATCATGATGTGGGTCTAGCTCAAGAATTTGATTTCTAGCCTTCTCAGCTAACCTCAAATGATTGTGTTTAACACATGATCCAAGAAGGGTTCTCCAAATAACAGAATTTGGCTTGAATGGCATTTCCTCCACTAACTTAAAAGCTTCAAGGAGGAAGCCTGCACGGCCTAAAAGGTCAGCCATGCAACCATAGTGCTCAAGCATAGGCTCAATGTGGTACTCATTCCTCATGCTTTCAAAAATCTTCCAGCCGTCCTCCACGAGACCACTATGACTACAAGCTAGTAAAGCACCAATAAAAGCAACACTATCAGGCTTCAAATGATACTTTTTCATGTCATAAAATGCGTTTAAAGCCTCTTTACCATGGCCATGCACTGCCAATCCAGTTATAAATGTAGTCCACGCTATAACATTCTTAATAGGCATTTCATTAAACATTTTGACCGAACGATCAATGCACCCACATCTTGAATACATGTCAACAAGAGAAGTACCCAATGAAACTGTTAGAGGCAATCCACTCCTGGCAATGAATACATGAATCCAAATCCCTAATTCCAACGCACCCAAAATAGAAATAGCAGATATAACACTTAGCATAATAACCCCATCAGGTTTGACATCCTCCTCGAGTTGCATTCGCTGAAAAAATACCAAAGATTCAAACACAAAATCATTATTTACCAGGCAAGAAATCATAGAGGACCAAGAAACCAAGTCCTTGTGGCGCATTTCATCGAACAGTTTGAATGCCATATCAACGAAGCCACAGCATCCATAAAAATTAATCAACGCATTCCGGACATAAATGTCAGAATCGAAACCAAGCTTCACAACAAGAGAGGAAAGCTCCAAACCCCTTTTCAATGGAGAACATGCCTTGAGGACAAATGGGAAAGTGAAGTGGTCAGGTCGAACACCAGCTCGATGCATTTGAGTGAATAGCGAGGAGGTTCGGGAGAAAGACCATTGTGGGAGTAATCTGAGAACAGAGTTGTAGGAAACCGTGTCAAATACAGGATACTGAAGCAAGAGAGAATGAGCATAATATGCTGCGTCACTGAGAGAATTTGCTGAAGCTAAACAACACTGAAGAAGATTACGCAAAGAGGAGGAGTTTTCATGTTGACCTACTTTGATTAGCCGAGCATGTAGCTTGTATACATTATTCATAGCTTTACAGGAGCCGTATCGCACAAATAAATTAGCTTCTTTTTTTTTTTTTTTGATTCTACAGCAGGATAAGACCAGAGAAACGATATGGCATATCCTTCTCCCTTCAGAGCGTCTTTCTCCTTCCTTCCACTTCAAATCGATCTACACATTTCGTTCGATGATGTAGTGTCGTTTAAAAGACAAAAGAAGGCGGGGTTGAAGATAGAAGAAACCCACCTTTCCTCTAGGCCAGGTATCCCCACGACACGGCAACGATGGTAGCAAGTCACTGCTCATCGACGGAGAAAGCAACCGAGCGACACCGGGGAAGGCCAGAAAGCAGGTGAAAGTGTCAATGAACGGCTGAGATTAATCATAAAAATAGACGGGTGCGATGAGCGTTTCAAAATAACTCAGATTCCGTCCTCTCGACTTAACGGCGCCGTTTCAAGGCCAGGGGAGGCGCAACGAAAACATGAGGCTCTCGGGCTGATTATGCCAATGGGCTTCTGTTTCTACCTTCTGGGCATGGCTAGCTTGGATGAATGACTCAGGCAACTGATTATTATCCCTTTGTAGTTTTGTACCAAACAAAGGATGAAAGAATGTATCCAAAAAAAACAAACAAACAAAAATAAAAATAAAACAAAACAAAGAAAAGAAAAAAAAAAATGGAAAATCACAACCAAGGACCACTGAAAAATATTTATTACCCTGCAAGATTAAATAATTTTAAAATTATTATGTAGAACTAAGGGATCTAAATATAATTAAAATTTATTATGAAAAAATAAAACTATCCTTCACACACATATATATATATATATATATTTTAAAATTTCACCATTGTCATTGGCTGCCAAACCACTATTGGTGGTCATCAGAGCTCCAATGCCAATCATTTGATTGTCGCTAGTTGTTAGAGCTCTGAGGAATAAGTTCTTTTTTGAAAAAAATTAGTTACATTTTCATTTTAATAATAATAATTAATTTTCTCATTAATAACTCTAAAAAATTAATTTGGTGGTGAAAAAAAAAAACAAGCACAATGATCTGGTGAACAAGTTCCAATTCAAAAAAAGAAGTCTTATTTTCGTTTTTATAATTTTATGTTTTAAATATAAAATGTTTTTTTATTTGATTTTTCCTTACATACCATTCCTTTCGGCGTATTTCGTCCATCAAATTGACCTATATAAAGTTAAAGCTAACTAAAATTATTAGCATGCAATGTATGGGTGTTTAGTTTCCTTTTTTGTTAAATATTCTTTGTTATGTATGGGTTAATAATTGTAGGAAATTTTAAGTGCTTAATTTGCTGACAAAATGTAGACTTGTCCCACGTATATATCAAACTTATATTTTATTTTATGAGAAAATTAAGCACAGAGAATTTCCTATAATTAAGTATAGCAATAAGTTGTAATTCGATATTGACATATTGAAATTCAAATTTTGACAAGTTTTATTATTTAACAAGTCCTTGACAGTATAATATTGACAAGCAGTTTTTCAATTTTAACAACTTAATTATAGGGAATTAACAACAACACTTTCAAAATTAACAACTTTCATAAAAAAAGGTTTGAAACTAATTTATAATATATGTTTTTTGCACAAATAATTAAGGGGCTTTGTTAGTTCAATGGTTACAGTGATATCCTCCCTTTTTTATTTTAAATAAAATCCAAAATCCAATTTGGTTTGGCCAAATGTGGATTTCATTTACCAATAGCAAGATATATACATCATCTAAAGAGATGCTTAAGGAATATTCACCTTCTAAGTAGGGTTCTATTTCTACGGTATCAAAACCTTTGGATTTTTTTTTCTTTTTTTTGGGGGGGGGGTCCTATAAAACAAACCAATTTAATACTCTTACATTAAAAAGATAAATCCATATATTGACGTAAGAAATATAAGTCTAACTTACGTGATGTATCATATATGAACTAGTGACATTACCTACACAAGTCATTGTAATAAATTTAACTTTCTCAAATAAGTTACCTCTTGTGTAGATAGCTTTTATTTAAAGCAAGCGTGATCTACTTCTCATCATGGTCAATATGACATTGCCCGTAGCAAAATGGCAAAAGTTGGAATGAATTATGAAAGTTTTTGTCATTGAAGGAAATGGTTGGGGATTTAAATCTAACTTAGCCCATATATATATATATATATATATATATAAAACAATTTAATTAAGAAAAGTGTTAGATTTAATATTTCAATTCATATAAATTAAATAATATTGAGTAAAGTAATGCACGCACTTGAACAATTCATGACTGAATGTGAGATATCAATTACCTCGAGTATAGGCAGATACACAACTCACTAGACTCTCGTAGTTTGCAAAGAATTCAGAGATAATGGAGAAAGTAAAAAATATTATATGTATTAGTTATCAACTAATCACAATATATGGATCACATCAAAATAAGCGCCTTAATTAATTAATTAATTAATAAAATTTCACGTTATCTTTGACTCAATCAATTATGAGATAAGGAATAACTGATTGCTACAGAGTTGTTGGTTGGGTCCCTACCCATTAGACTCACTTGCGTGATCTACTTATCACGGTTCACACAAGATCATAAAAACTAATATGTTTGGGCTTAATTAATTAGTGCAAGTCCATAATGTTTATAAATATTTCAACAAAAAATCTGCCTATTACTTTCAGTATTAGGAGATATCATATTCTTTATTATCTATACTTCTCATACTTAAAACAACAACAAAAATGCCGCTGGCAATGTCATGATTTTTTAACCTATCTATTTAGCAAGCCATTCAACTAAGGTCACTTTTTTACCATTCGACTGTAAAACTGTAGTGACAAATCATTATACTTTAATATAAATGTTTATGATATTGGGTATTTATTTTGTATGGTTAAACTATTCAATTGAAATTTTAATATTATAAATATATTTATCTAATATAATTTAATAATGTTTTTACAAAATATTAAATAAGAATCATCTAAATTTATTCAAGTGCCCAAATTTGAAGTGAAGATAAAATTGAAGAAAAGTGCAATGGAAAATATCTGACGCTCACATATCACTATGTCAAATTAAGGGCACTGCAACTGGATATTTTTTGTAACCACAGTACTTTAGTCTTCCTTTCGGCTCACATACCTGCATATTTTTTCATTGGTTCAAAACTTTTGTGTTTGCATCGTTCCATAATTTATTTTAAAATTTTCTTGCATATAATTTGTAATATATTTTCCATAGCTTTTGCGTGTAGAGCCCAAAGTTTCAACCAATAAAAGTTAGTCAGTCAAGTTCATAAGAATTTAACTCATGACTCATGACTCATGTGGCTGTAAATTCAAATATTGCTTTCCAAACTATAGAAATAAAATTTAATAACATGCATTTTATAGCATAAAAAATGAATTGTCATTCATATTAAAGCCAAAGTAGAGAGGTGGCATTTCTTATATCAAATGCCACCACTTATAAATTATTTTTTTATTTATAATTTTAATAAATAAAAAGATGCAGTATTTTCTTAAATGAAATGCCACAGTTTCTTGTTAATTAACAATTAAGTGGCATTTAATAATTAAACACTACCTCCCTACTTTGTTATAAGTTAAGTATTTTGCTTTATTAAATTATATAATTATTTTATTATAATTATTTAATTAGTATAAATAATAAATATATATTACTATTTAATATTTAAAATAAAAATCTTTGATTTTAATAATTAAATAATTATATATACATATATTAATTACTAATATTAATTATTAATATGTACTTCCTCTGTTAAAAAATGTAAGACATTTTTTGATAAGTTTGATGTTAAAAAATGTAAGGCATTTTTAATCTTTCGAGATGTAATCATTTTTTTTTTTAAAGTGTTGCCTATTGATAATGACTTTATATTTATTATAAAGTATTTAATAGAGGTAAATATAAAAAGATAGAGTTAGTTAAAAAATAAGTAACTACTTTATTGGGGAGTGAGATTTGATTAAAAATGCCCTATATTTTTGAACGGACAGAGTATTTTATTTTGTTTAATAATTATTAATGACTAATATATGATATTATTTATTATTTTTAAGGAGAGGATGCCGTTTCCCTACATGAGAAATGCCACACCTATTCTAATTATTTAAAAATTATATATATTAATTACTAATTAAATAATTTTTTATAATTTATTTAATAATTATTTTTTATTGAAATAAATTATTATTTAATAATTAAAAGTAGAAAGGTGGAATTTTCAATGTTGGAAAATGCCACCTCTCTAATTTTTAGTTAAATTGGTATTTTTTAATAAATATTAATAAGAAATATTATTTAATAATTATAAAAATATCTTATATTTTTGAATAGATGAAGTATTTTATTCTACTTAATAATTATTAATGACTAATATATAATATTATTTAGTATTTTTAAGGATACAGATGGTGTTTCACCACACTAGAAATGCCACCATTATAACTTAATTATTTAAAAGTTATATATATTAATTACTAATTAAATAAATTTTTCATAATTTATTTAATTTGTATCTGTTATTAATATATATTATTATTATTATTTAATAACTAAAAGTAGAGAAGTGGCATTTCTCATGTTGGGAAACATCACCTCTCTGATTTTTAATTAAGTTAGTATTTTGTTTTGTTTAATAAATATTAATAATTAATATATAATTTTATTTATTATTTTTAATGAGAGAGGTGGCGTTTCCCCATGCTAGAAACACCACCTCTCTAATTTTAATTATCAATAATTACATATATTAATTATTAATTAAATAAATTATTTATAATTTATGAAATTACTGTTTTTTGTAAATATGTATTATTTTTTAATATTAAAAGTAGAGAAATGGTGTTTCCCACAATAGATAGTAGGCAAAGACATATTTAGTGTTGATTTAATAGAATATCAATTGATTGCCGATAGAGAAAAATAGAGGTGGTGGAAACAATGAAGAAAAATAATTTAAAAAGAAAAGCAAAAGATGTGTAAAAGTAAAAAAGAATAGTGATTAAAGGAAAAAGAAAATAAAGATGCCCGACAAAATGTGTAATAATCAAAAGATAATAAACTTAAAATGATAAAATAAAAGAAAAAGAAGAAAGATGGTACACAATTGTATACAAAAGTCAAGAAAGGTTGCACAGAAGTAAAAAGGAGAAAAAAAAAAGAATATGAAAATTAAGTTATAAATTGTGGAAAGAAAAAGTAAGAAGTGACAGAACAAAACAAATGTCAGAGAGCAAAAGGCACTCTGAAATCTATAAAAAGAGCTAATTCCTCCTCATACAACGATCGAGCAATTCTCTCTCTCT